GGACCTAGATTTGCCTTGCTTTACATCTCAACTGGGCCATTTAGGAACTGTGAATTGGAAAAGCTGCTACGTCTTCTCAGTGCCCCAGTTTCCTCATCGCTAGGATGGGGATAATTAATAGCTCTGTTGCGTGGGGCTGTTATGAGAGCGAAGCAAATTAATATATGCCACGTTTTCAGAACAGTGCCCGTAGCCTGTATGTTGCAAACACCGTATTTGTTAGCCTATTTCTTTCCCACTCCTCCATTTCCTCGAATTCCTTCCTGCTTTCAGATATGATGCAGTGTTCTTCTCTCATGGTTTCTTTCTGCCATTTCTTAATAGCTGAAACTGTACTCCAAATGTAATCTTGTGTCTTTAAATATTACACCATGATTTTATTTGTTAGTGCAATTTTAAATGACAGGCAAGTCGTAGTGTCATAATGCTATTATTTAGCCTCGTATAAGGTGATGACGCAATTTGGGTATGTGGATTTTATTAACATGCACAAGGAAAGGAACATTTTCTTTTTAAGTGAAATACTAAGGTTCCTTTTCCTTTCCCCAAACAAAAGAACAGGACATAATTTTGAAGCCTCAATTTCTAGTTTTATTTTCATTTTGGCTAGTAGTAGAGTCATTTGTTTATTGTTCTCTCATCAAGCACCACCTATGCATCTAGGTATAGGGTATGATGCTAAGAGCTGGGGATGTAACAATGAATAAGGCAATTTCCTGAATAAATTTGAAGTTTGAGATACTCAAAGTGATGAAGGAACACTGGGAAGAGCAACCAACTCTGCCTGAGAAAGTTGAAATCTGAGCTGGCACTGAAGCTATATAGGGATTTGCTGGGAAGGTAGGATGCGGAACAAAGCATCCTGGGGAGAAGAGTCAGCAGGGAGTAAAATGAGAAGTTGGGAACTGTCCAGAAAGCTCTGAGTGTTGTTTCTGAAGAAGCGTGGTGCGCATGGTGGGGTCGGAGGCGCGATGGGCCATCAGCCTGACAGCCCAGCTTAGGTCCAGAGATGGAATTCGAGTTTATAACTTATCCAGTAGGAAAGAAGGGAGTAAATATAGGCTCTAAGCTCTAGAAGGAACCTGTTCAGGTGGATAATGGTGGCAGTGGAGCATGAGCAGACAGAGGCCTAGATTGGAGGTACTGACATTAGTGAGGAGGCTGGTGCAAAGGTTAATTAAAATCCAGTGACTAGAAAGGCGGACAGGTTCAAGGTATGTTCTGAAGATTCAAAAATTCTCGATTGGAAGTAGGGTATGACAGTAAAGGGAAGAGAAACACTTAAACATTTCTAGCTTTTACAAACTTCTAGTTATAAAATAAATGTCATGGGGATGTAATGGAAAGCACGGTGGCTATAATTAACAATACTGTGTTGTATATTTGAAAGCTGCTACAAGAGTGGATCTTAAAATTTCTCGTTATAAAAAATCGTAACTCTGTATGGTGATGGCTGTTAACTAGGCTTATTGTGGTGACCACCTTGCAACATATATAAATGCTGAATCATTGTACTGTACACCTGAAACTAGTATAGTGTATTTTATATCAATCATATCTCGACTTAAAAAAAAAGATTCCTAGCTTGGAGTAAACAGAGATGGTACTAAAAGACTGAAAATATGGGGGCGCCTGGGTGGCTCAGTTGGTTAAGCTTCCGACTTTGGCTCAGGTGATTTCACAGCTCGTGGGTTCGAGCCCCGCGTCGGACTCTGTGCTGACAGCTGGCTCAGAGCCTGGAGGCTGTTTTGGATTCTGTGTCTCCTTCTCTCTCTCTGACCCTCCTCTGCTCACGCTGTCTCTCTCAGAAATAAATAAAAAACTTAAAAAATCAAAAAAAAAAAAAAAGACTGAAAATGTGAAAGGCAAAGCAGTTTGTGATGGGAGGGAGGAGAGAAGATGGACAGGAGGTGTTTTATTTATTTTTATTTTATTTTTTAATAGTTTATGGTCAAGTTGGTTTCCATATAACACCCAGTGCTCATCCCCACAAGTGCCCTCCTCCATGCCCAGCACCCCCCTTCCCCTCTCCCCCACCCCCATCAGCCCGGGAAGGAGGTGTTTTAGATACGAACAACTAAGCCACTGAGACGGGCGTGAGAAACTGCAGTGGGAAATACAGGCCTAGGGCTTGGGAGAGAAACAGGGGTTGGAGTATTAGCTTTAGGATTATAATCGAAACCATGGGAGCAAGTGAGGGGATCTGGTTAGAGTACAAAGACAAAAAAAGGTCCAAGAGTGAAATTCCGGGGGGTCCTCAGGCAGGCAGGTGGGGACGGGGAGACTCAGCCAAATGCGAGGGGCTGGCGAGAGGGCAGACTGTGCGGCCGCAGAGGGCGAGCGGAGGGCCGGTCAGCAAGTCCCGCGCTGGAGGAGACAGGCCAGTGCGGGGCAGCTTTGTGACTTCAGCCACAGGCGACCTCAGCGAAAAGCAGTTTGAAGCTGAGGAGTGGAGGGGGAGAAAGCAATCTGGGAGTGACTCCTCTTCCAGGGGGGCTGCTGGGAAAAGGAAGTACCTGGCAGCAGAAGCAAGAAGGGCAAAGTGTGCGGGTGAAGTCCCGTCACAATGGAGACTGGACGATTTCTGTAGAGCAAGAGGCCTGATCGTTTACCCACAGAGCACATGACATCTATTTCATCCACTGGTCTGAAATCCAGGAGTTTGAAAACAAGTTAAGGACTATTCCTATATGTATCTATACGGCTCTCTTAGACGGGAACACAAAGCTTTAACTTTAATTTGAAGATGGGGAGAATCCCACCTCGGACTTGTTTCAAGGCTTTTGTTTCGGCTCACCGCAAAAGCAGCTAACGAGCAGTGCTAAGGATGTAACTGAGCTAAGGATGCAGGTGCCCACTTCCTGCTTGTGTATCACAAACATTTCGGTGGCCTCAGCAGCTCTAGCAGCTGAAATGTCCAAAAAGCGGAGTACTGTGAACTCTCCCTCCCACTAAAACAAACAAAAAAGCTCCGGGTACTTCAGCATCTAGAAACTAAAGGTGAAAACCCTGTCTGTGAGGAAGCCACGTCACCCAGGCCTAACGCGTGGGTTTGGGGCCTGGAAGGTGGGGCTGTGCCCGCTCTGGGGCGGCCTTGTTTTACCGTTAGGGACAGCTAGGCTCTTTCATGACAAGAACGGGCAGGCCGCTAGCACTGGCGTCAAAGCAAGACACGTAAAGCGAGCAAGGTTTCTTTCCCCAACTCATGCTCACTGAACACAGGCATGAGCACACCACTACTATTCTGCAGTCCAGAAACTTGGCTTTCAAAGGCAAAGCAAGTTTAAGAGATGTTCCTGTCTGAACAGCCTCATCCCTTCAGCTAATTCTCTTGATTTCCTTCTTTGTGAACATCTGCACAAAAACACCATATTATCGGGGATGTTATTTTCAGAGAACCTTAGCAGGGGGAGCCCAGATAAAATCTCAAGGTCTATTGCACTTGTGAAACTTTCACTCAGGGTGACTTCCTTGAGATGCATTATTAGAGATAGACATTTCATTTCTAATGTGCAAGGCAGGACAACACTTTAAGACTTAGAGACTGCTTATTTCCATGTGGACTTGAGATTTTGGCTGCATCCATAAAACAGAAAAAATACATAATAAGACAAATTAGTAAATCTCTGAAACAGTGTTTAATCTAGAGAGAGATAAGCATTTTTTAAAAGGAGATGTCAAACAGCACTTATCTTCAGCATGTTTTAGAAATCCTGTAACAGTGTAAGGTCTTTTTAAAAAATTTATGATTATTTTTTTAAGATTTTAAGTGATCTGTACACCCAGTGTGGGGCTTGAACTCACAATCCCTAGATCAAGAATCACATGCTCCTCTGAGCCAGCCAGGCACCCCAGTATCTGGTCTTCTGACTTCAAATTTGTTGCTTTAATTTTTTCATTTTCTATGAACTGCAAAGAGGTTGTAAGATCACAGAATATTTATTAGTCTCTTGAAAGACATCAGATTCTCTCAGTATGTCTTTTATTTTTATTATTTTTTTAATGTTTTATTTCTGAGAGAGAGAGAGAGAGAGAGAGAGCACGCACAAGAGCAGGGGGAGTGGGAGGGGTAGAGAGAGAGAGAGGGAGACACAGAATCTGAAGCAGCTCCAGGCTCTGAGCTGTCAGCACAGAGCCCGACGCGGGACTCGAACCCACGAACCGTGAGACCATGACCTGAGCTGAAGTCGGACGCTTAACTGACTGAGCCACCCAGACGCCCCTCAGTATGTCTTTTAGAGTAGACAGTACTCTATATAAATACTGGTGAAAAAGCAATTAAGGCCACGGACAAAGGGCAATTATTTGGGTGCCTCTGAAGGCAGGCACCTCACACAAAACTTTGTTTGAGGCAAGAAAGTGCTGAAAATTCCTTTCCTGATTTTATATGCTTAGGTCCTGGAGCAACAGCTTCAATCGAATTTGGTCCTGCCAGACAAAGAATATTGCTACGAGGTAGTGCAGAAGCCAGTGGTTTCAGTGTTTTACTACTATGTGAATATGTGAGACAAACCGCACTTTAGAAATAACCTGGCACCTTGCTGAACGACACTACTAACTCCTTAATACTTGGAAAAACTTAAGTAGGTACTTGAACATGAAATGTATTTTGTGTATTCCATGGAATTGATGTCCTTGCCTTTAACACAAAACCAAAACCAATTTTAGTATTTTGTTTTTAATCATCAGTAAAATCATTTCTTCAGTTTCTTACACTTATAGCTTCTTAATTTCGATATATATATATCTTATTCGCCTGTATGTGTTTATTTACAGTGTTACCCACCAGCTTATTTAATGGTGACTTTGGTCTGATTAGCTGGCGAGAAGGCCCTAATCACCTGATAGAGGCAGGAACAGAAAGCAGGGTTAGGTCCTTAACAAAATGCATTTGATCCTTCTTCACTGTTGCTAATGCGTCTGAAAACGCCTGGTTTTGATCAGGAACTTGTGGCGACTAGAGCTTCTGAGCATACCTGAGGCTTCACAAAAATTCCCAGTGACAGAAAAAGCTCTTATTCCATTTAATAGTGTTAGTTTTGAAGACATTTAATCCATGAAGGATAACCTACCAGTGATGTGTCCGATGTAGAATCCAGTACGAATTTTGGTCAGTTTGTTAAGAAACGAAATGTTCTCAACATTACTTGCATTAGAAAAGTGACGAGAACTGTTATGGTTGCTTGAGATGTTGTAACACATCGCGCGGTACCCCCAGCTGTGTTACTAAACCGGCTGTCTGTTCTAAAATCCAAGTGAGGCTGGGGTTTTCAGAATGTGCCTGCTCCCGTATCCTATAACATTCTAAAGATGAACAATCTGCCTCACTAAGACTCTTGCTACAGTTTTTGTGAAGTTCAGCATTATTTTCACAGAGTCTTTCATCTTTAGCTTCATCCATCTTTTTCTCAGCTGGAGCTTCGTGACAAAGGTCCATCTCCTGAATGGAGTCCAATAAATCTACAACACGGGGCTGAGACGTGATTGATTTCAGATGTTTGAGCACATACTCTTCACACTGGCCAACTGCATCCAGAAGATTATTTATTTTACTGATCAGAGCTGAGCCATTTTCATGAAGGTGACACCAGGAGAGCAAAGCACTGAGTGAAAATAGAAATAAGAGTTAAACAGGAAAAAACGGAACCAATCATAGGCGTTTTGAATTTTTGATGCTAAACCCTACATGCTTCTTTTCCGGATAAGACCACACAAAAAGAAATCAATAATGATGCAAAGCAGAATCAGCAAAGTAATGGTAAAATGGATTGTAAAATATATAAAGATATTATCTTTTGATAGAAATTAAACAACTGGAAGTAATCATATAAATTGCTTATAATTCCTAAGACCTCCTTCCCAATTCCATGCACTTCTCTTGATTTTAGGTTCTCTCTTTATGACTGTGTAGCTTCTGTCAAAGAGGGATGCAACTCGGAGAAAGATCACAAAACTTAGTTTCTCCTTTAACGACATCCAACAGCTTCTGGACTAGTGATTCTCAGACTAAGATATCCAGTGGAATCACCCAGGGAGCTCTTAAAACTGTCAAGGTCTAGGTCACAGCCCAGACCAATGAAAGCAGAGTCTCAAGCTTCCCAACTGATATCAAGGTGCAGCCAAGGTTGAAAACACTTGTTCCAACCATATAGGTGCTTGCCATCAAAACACTGAAGGGCAGGAAAAAAGTTTTGACGCAATTTCTCTTTCCCAACTTCGTTATAGAATAGCCACTGTTTTTGAGCTAACTGACAATTTTCTTGAAGAAGGTAAGAATTCTTCTTGTCCCTAACAAATATCTTTCTTTATTTTTCTAGCACAGATAGTGCTTTTTGTTTTCTGACATTTCAGATTGCTCGGGTAATCATGACATAAAATAATGGTTGTGAAAAGCAGTCATGTTTTAGAAATGTAATCAATTGATGTGAAAGATTTAGCAATAAGCTTTCTGAGATTATAAAAGATTTAACTTGACGTAAAATAAACACTTGATCATTTTCCTACTGTAGTAGACTCTAAATCTGATTTCTGATGGTTGAATTTTCTAAAACCTCAAAAAATAAATTTTTGGTCTTGATGACTTATTTTCTACTCTTTTTCATTTTTTTCAGAGAGAGAGTGAGCAAGCGAGCAGAGGGAAAGAATCTTAAGCAGACTTCAAGCTCCCTCCTGAACCTGACATGGGGCTAGATCTCACAAGAGATCATGACCTGAGCCAAAATCAAGAGTTGGCTGCTTAACCAACTGAGCCGCCCAAGAGCCCCATTTCCTGCTCTTTTAAAAATTAGTGATTCTTTGAACCATTTTATGTTTTGTTTTTCTACAGAGGACAATTTCAAAGCTATACAGATCAGAGAAGATAAGCCTATCATGCTCCTAGCTCCATGGGCCATTTGACCACCTGGCCCTGGTTTTTGCCATTCTTACTATGGAATTTTGACAAGTATTCAATGTTCATCCCTAAGATAAATGCAATCATTTCCCCCTCTATTACCAGTTACACTTTTCATCGTGTACTGCTAGTCTAGAAGTCTCTCATTCTGTGTTCTGCCACGTGTGAAGACCTTTTAAATTGTGATACAGTTTAGTGGTAGTTCAGTAGCAAAAAACACACACCCTCCTATCATTTCTTTGCAGTAAAGGACAACACCTGGCTCACATATTAAAGTGGATGAACTGATGCTTTTTGACTTTTTGAAGGCATTATTATTCTACACTCTGCAGTACTCTTTTGGGGCTTTAACACTAGGAAAATCACTTCAGTTTAAATAGTTTATTTTTAGCTACTACTTTTCAAAAGTCCTCGGGTAGCACTGAGGCTAGACTGACGCAGCGTTTAAGTTTAAAAATTACCTCAACGTTCCTCTGAGCTGTCCATAGTTTATAATGAGGTCTGCACCTTCCTTATAACCTTGATTGAAGCCTTGTTGGAGAGTAACTGCTTTGCCGGCATCTACCCCATCTCTATAACCTTCCTAAAAATAAATAACGAAGAACTGTGGCTGTAATTAACATCACGTAAGCCACTGTGGGTTTTTCTAGAAAGTCATAGAATCAATTTGGAAAACTGATGAAACAGGCCTTCGCCATTTACTATTTAATATAATGGTTCCAAACGACACAGCCATACAACCAGAGGACGCTTCTCATCAGAGTTTATTACTGGCCTATCTCACCGCTGAGCTCTAGGCTTACTCGGCACATTTAAAAATACCGATTCCTATACGGTTTTTAAAAACCCTGTTAACAATGGCTTCACAGAAAGGAAACTGAGAGAATTACATGCCTGGCCCCTTGGCGGCCTTGACTGGTGTGAATGAGTGAGAAGCCAGGGGCAGTAAACAGGTTGTCAAAGGTCTTCGATAAGTAAGTCAAGCCGGGAGAGAGGAAACTGGATTAGCGAAAAAGAAGTATAATTTTAGAAAATTAAAAAAAAATTTTTAAATTTATTTCCGAGAGAGAGGGAGACGGTGTGAGCAGGGGAGGGTCAGAGAGAGAGAGGGAGACACAGAATCTGAAGCAGCTCCAGGCTCTGAGCTGTCAGCACAGAGCCCGACGCGGGGCTCGAACCCACGAACCGCGAGATCATGACCTGAGCCAAAGTCAGACGCTTAACTGACGGAGCCCCCCGGGCGCCCCCCTAAGCTTAGTTTTAACGAGTCAGGAGACGGAACGAGACACGGGTAACGCACACCTGACAAGACAGAACCCAGCGTTGGCACCCTCGCCCGCCCAGCGGCAGCCTTCCTTCACCGTCACGGTCAAGTTCACGTGTCCACACGTCCTGATTAAGCCCACTCCTCACTTGAGGCCCTTCACCCCGTTAAGCTACCCCTGTACACCCGCCGTCGCACAGCCGTAAGCGGCACAGTCGCTGTGGAGGTTTCTCCCCCGGCGTCTCTGAGAGCCTCACAGTCTACACCACGTTTGGTTCGGTCCGTGCCCGGCGCCACGCAGGCTCACGCCCCCGCGGCCGGCACAGCCCCCCGCTCCCGCCGCGCGGCTTTACTTTGACCCGTCGCAGCATGTGGCTCTGCCATTCCCGCCGCACCAGGAGCGCCTCGTCCGCCTCCTCGTCAAACACGTCCCCCGCGCCCGCGGGGCCCCGGGCCGGCGCGGCGCCCCGCAGCCACGACATCTCCCCGGCAACGCGGCGCGGCGGCCGCCGGAAGCGCCGGCGACTGCTTCCGGCCCGGGGGGCGGGGCGGCGGCCGCGGGTGGCGCTGGGCGCCGGCTGTCGCGCGCGCGTCTGTGGTGGCGCGTGCGGTCGGGTGACTGCGGGCCGCGGCTGGGGCGGACCCACGGGTGTCCCTGGGCCTGGGGGGGGAGGGGGCGGTCGGCGAGGCGGGTTCGTCGGTCGCGCGCCCGCGCGGCTCGGCCTGTGCGGCGCCGGGGCCCGGGGGGCCGGGAGGGACCCTCCGCCGCGGCGCGGCCCTCCCGGCGGCGAGGCGTCTCGGGTGTCGTGCGTGAAGGGACACCAGTACTTGTGCTCTTTGCCTGGTGGCGTCGGAACGGCGGTGTGTTTATTTAACAATTTTTTCTTTTTTTTTCCCCGTCGAGCCTGTTCGGACACGTCAGTGACGAAGCTTCCCGGCTCGCCTCCGCCTTTCGTTCCGGTGGAAGGGACGGGATGAACCAAAAGCACGTATAAGTAAAAAGAAGCAGTTTGCTGCAAGATCACAAAGGACACATGCTATGAAAAAGAATTTAAAAAATAAGCAGAGGGCGCCGTGAGCACGTGTGTGAGGGTGGGTTTAGGTTATAATTTTTAAATGCTCAGAAACTTGCATTGTATGTATGTATATAATTAGTATATATGTATGTACATATATATAATTTAGTTGCTAAGTCCGTGTATAAAGAATGTATAAAAAATTCTATACTTGGCCACATAAAGTACTTCAATAAACTTAAAAACCCAGACATTTTATACATCCTACTTCATAATCCAACAAAATTAGTGATTAATTTTTAAAAAAGACTCCAAGAATTATAATACTGGACATTAGAAACGCCTTTGTAAAATTGGGATCCAAGGGGAAATAAAAATTAAAATGATACGTAATAAGCAGTTAACATCTGAACACTTCCTACTAGAAAACATGGGACCAAATGAAAGCTTATACTGAGGCAATTCTGTAGGCTTGAATATATTATTAGAGAAGAAAGAAAAAAATACATAAATTTTGTTATATATTTTAATTGGCAACAAAACAAAATGGTAGTAAGAGAAACAAAGATACCAATTGAAATTAATAAAAAAGAAAATCCCAAACTTACATAAATAAATCCTAAAGCTGGTTCTTTGAAGACACAGATAAGACAGATAATCTTTTTTTTTTTTTTTTTTTAAGTAAGCTCAACACCCAGTGTGGGGCTTGAACTCACTACTTCAAGGTCAAGAGTTGAATGCTCCGCGACTGAGCCAGCCACCTATCCTGGGTAATCCTCTTTTGACCTTGATTTAAGAAAAAGAAAAGGAAAAAAATTGTACAAAATAGAAATGAGAAAGGCAGTAATGATGCAGAAAGAAATTCCAGTGCTATACGTTGCTAACTGAAGTTCAAGAGCCACACATTGGAAAACCTAGGAGATGTGAATGACTTTCTGATAAAGGTGACCCAGTAAATAGAAAACAGGAAGACACTAATTACCCTAGAAAAATTGGACATTAAATATCTGCTATAAAAAATAGCATGAAGACTTGACACACAGGTAAATTCTTTAAATCCTTTTTAATCTTTAAAGGACAATGGATAGTTCAGTATTTTTTACTCTTCTAGGGCAAAGAAGATGATCCCCGTTATTATTCATTTTTTTAAATTATTCAACATTCTTTTGATGACTTAAATGAAAGAGAGAGGTAAATAATCTTAAAATGTTGGATAATAAGAGATGAAGTGTTTTTTTTTGATGTTTATATAATTGTATACACATAAACCCCAAAGGAATTCCATTAAAAACAACAGAATAAGGGAATTTGATAAGGCCTCTGGCTATCAGAAAAATAGACCAACAGGGGCGCCTGGGTGGCTTAGTCGGTTAAGCGTCCGACTTTCGCTTAGGTCATGATCTCGCGGTTTGTGGGTTTAAGCCCCGTGTCGGGCTCTGTGCTGACTGCCAGCTCAGAGCCTGGAGCCTGTTTCAGTCTGTGACTCCCTCTCTCTCTGACCCTCCCCTGCTCATGCTGTCTCTCTCTCTCTCCTAGAAATAAATAAAAAACATTTAAAAAAAAAAAAAGAAAGAAAAATAGACCAACAGCCTCTTAATTTTCTGGCAATAACCATCTAAATGTAAATGAGATAAATACTGCACTTGCAATACCAACAAATGCTATTAGATACAGTATTTATATATTTGCTTAGTATTTAGTACTTATTTAGTATTTATACATGCCAGGAATACATTTTACGAAATCAACTTTGTTGAGGTATAATTTACATGCAGTAATATGCATCCATTTTTAGTGTAGAGTTTGATGAGTTTTGACATACGTATACCCCTGAGTAACCACAACTGAATCAAGATACAGAAATTTCCGTCACCCCGGAAAATTTCCTCTTCTTTGCAGTCAGCCCCTCACTCCTTGAGGCAACCTCTGATTAAATGTCTATCACTCTAAATTAGTTTTGCCAGTTTTAGAACTTGACAGAAGTGGAATCGTATATGTCTGTCTAAATATTTGGCTCTTTGACTCAACACAGTGTTTCTGAGATTAATTCACGTGGTTACATGTACCAATAGGTTATTTTCATTTTATTGCCAGGTACTCTTTTCATTGTATGGCTATACCAGAATTTGCTCCTTCACGTATTGTTTGGATTGTTTCCAGTTCTTCGCTATTGTGAATAAACCTGCTGTGATGGAAACCAACTTGACAGTAAACTATAAAAACAACAACAAAAACCAATCTGCTATGAACATTCTTGTACAAGGTGTTTTGTGGACAAGTTTTCATTTCTCTAGAGTGAATGTCTAGAGGTGTAATTGTTGAGTCATGTGGTAAAGACAAATTTAACTTTATAAGAAACTGCCAAACGGTTTTCCAAAGCGATTGTTCCATTTCATACTCCTGCCAGCAGTGTATGCAGATGTCACTTGCCCCACACCCTCTTCCTCACTTGGAATTGCCAGTCTTTTTACTGTTCGCTCTTCTGATAGGTGAGTAGTGGTTTCACACTGTGTTTTCCTTCTCATTTTTCAGATGGCTTAAGATACTGAATATCTTTTCATGTGCTTGTTTTCCATTTGCATCTCTGTTTAAATGAAGTCTTTGTCCATCTAAAAAACAATTGGCTTGTCTTACTGTATTTCAAGGATTCTTCTGTCCTCTGTCAGATACCTGAGTGGCACATAGGTTCTTTGCATTAGTTATATCCATCGGGAGACAGGTGTGGAGATAGAGTTAGTTCATGAAATTTCCTGGGGGACAGGGAACAGAATGCCCGTGAAAGGTAAAAGGTGGAGGAGGGATGATTAGGCAGAGAAAGCCTATGCAGAGGGATGCTGATCTGATCCCTGTGATAGGAAGTTCACTAGGTAGATCTCACAGATTCTGGACAACATAAAAGGGAGTCAGGAGCAGAGGGCAAAGAGGTGAAGAGGAGTCTTTTGTTCAGTGCCCGGGGCCTGGCTTTGGGGCCCTTGCCGCGCTCCCTTATTGGCTGGGGGCCTGAGACATACGCTGTAGGTGCTTACTGACAGGTGGAGGCTGACAGTTGTACTCCTTTGTCAAGAACCAGATGATCTTTCAAGGTCCTTTTGAGTGTGTGATTCAGTGTTTTCAAAAAGAGCTATCCTTTCTCTCCCTCTCTTTCTTTTTTTTTTTAATGAACTGTAAATAACAGCGACACCTGCATAAATTTTGGTGTCACGATGTGAACTTACTCAAAGTATTTAGCAAACTTCTCTTGCAGCTCCATATCTCTTATGTAAATACTCTGTGATGAGGTCAACCTCTAGGATTCACTCTGTTCTTTCCCTGTTCTTTCTGCTTATCGTCCATCCTTGTCTTTTCTTTCAGAGCCTTCAACAATTCTTTTTTATGTCCTTCTCTTCCCCATCTCTTGCCGAGTTTCATTCTTTATCTCAGTCTCCCACACTTTATTTGTGCCTTTGCAAACTGCTATTTTGTAGTTAGTGTAATAAACTTGTAGGAGGGCGCAGACCTTTTCTCAGTTTCTCTCCCAAGTTTCTAGCATGCTGGCTTTCACCATGAAGCCTCTGGCAGCCAGCCAGCAGAACTCCTAATTTCCATATGCCTGGTGAAGTACTTTCCCACTTTTCCTTGTCCTTTCTAAACTTTTCATATGTCCTCCGATTCGCAGTCGTATTCAGTGATTAAGTCCTTGGGTGCTGTCTGTTAATTGCTTATGACAGGTTTGCTCTAAGACGTATTATAATACGAAATAATGTACTTAATAGTAATATGAAAAATAAAATTGTTGTTAGGGGTGAAAATGATAGGAGAACATTCAGTATGTGGCTCCTAAAGAGCGAGCCTTGAATAAGGAGAGGAGGGTAGCAGGTAGATCTGTGCAGAGTTGCCGCCTTTATTTTATTTACTTTACTTTTTAAAAAATGTTTATTTTGAGAGGGAGAGAGAGCCAGTGGGGGAGGGGCAGAGAGCGAGGGAGACACAGAATCGGAAGCAGGCTCCAGGCTCTCTGCACAGAGCCCGACGCGGGGCTCGAACCCACGAATGATGAAATCATGACTTGAGCCGAAGTCAGACACTCAACCGACTGAGCCACCCAGGCGCCCTCCTTTATTTTAAACTACTGTGTCCACAGGAGACCCCAGTTATAATAGAACTGTTAAAGCTAAGAGGAAAATTGTTAGTCTGATGAAGACTGTTTATTGAATATTAGAAAGAATGAAGCGGAGATGTCAGACAGGAACCCTAACTGATCTTTCTCAAAAGGCCTGTTGATGGACAGCTTTGTCTAATAGCATTTCAACATGTTCAAGTCAGTCTTATCTTTAAAACAACCGTTCTCATCTCCACATTGTCCCCTAGCTGTTGCTCTATGCTGCTTTTCCCTTTAGAACTAAATTTCTTGAGTCCGTGTCTGTACCTCTGTACCTTCCACTTTTGAACGCATTGCGATCTGCCTTCCAACCCCGGTGTTCCGTTTAAAATGGGAGTGAGGGGGGAGGGGCAACTTCCACAGTATTTTATCTCATGA